CTTTGAGAAGGGCCACTCTGTCATTCTGCGTCACTGCCATGGTAATCGGCGATTCCGAGGGGCGAACGGAGCTCAAGAGTATGCCATCGTATATAGCATTTTCTGGCGATAAAAAGTTGACCCAATTTCGAGGAACTCGTGAAAATTAGAGGCTACTACAGTTTTCTCGCAATAGCAGACCGGCCCCTCGCAAAGCAAATACCGCTGGGGGACCTTCCAGTGATATCGCTATCACATCTTACAATGTCGAGAAGAGGTGGACAATGGACTGGCTTGATTTTGAAAAGAAGTACTGTAAGAAACCTCGTTTCCGCGGCTAACTCCTTTGTGATCGAATGCATCAGAGCTAGTAGAGCCTTCGCATTTCTCACGAATCCTCTGCAGGATTACATCAATAACACCAAGCACATTTTGTACACGTCCCTTCACCAAACAAATACGTTCACTCGTCCCTAAAAACATCATCTGTACCGTTGATTCGGAGATAATTAGCTGCGTTTATACTTCGCGTCACCTTTGTCAGCGTGCGACAGCGTTTTGAGCGTTTCGCGGGGAGCCACTCAAAACGCAAAATGAACGCAACCTTAGGAACACTCCTCACCGCAACGAAGAGGACTCACCTGGATAGGTCTCAGAACTTTTGCTCATTTGAACACGACATTGATGGTCATTCTTCAGATTTCTCATCGCTTCTCCACCTTTACCAATTATTGCCCCCACAGCCGCGGACGGAATCAAAATTTTTACGGCCAGCTGATCTAAATATAACGGATGCGAACATGAAAAATCGAAAAAGTATAACTAGACTTACTGTCATCTCCATCGACATGCGCTCTCTTGTTCGCAGGGCCATCATATGAGTCTTGACCTCTTTTAGTTCCTGACGACTGGATGACAGATAAAGGGTTGCCCTCCTCATTTTGATTATTTTCTGCCATAACTGCAGCGTAGTACCTCACTAAAGAATGCAATTTTGAGAAACTTGTTACATTAGCTTATTACCAGCATTAGTAACGATGACAGCGGCAAAACAGTCAGGAAATCAGTTATGCGGGGAGTATCAAAAGGTCTTCGCTAGCAAAACTCATTTCCCTAAAGGGGATAAGGGTTTTTGAGAGCGCTATCCTAGCTTGGTGGGGTAAGGGGGAGCTTGGTATCCCTTTGCCCAAAAAACTGGCTCAAAGCGGGCGGGCACAGCCGCCGAGAGGATGGTACCACAGAGAGGGCATAGTCTCCAATAAGCCTAACCTTCAAGTGAAGGAATAAGGAAGCGCCGGCGAATGATACTCCCTCTCCAACTACCGAAGTGCCTTTTCTTTGTTAGCCTTTTTAGTCCCGGTTTAAGCGAAACAAATTCTTCATGCAAAAAGGGAGTTCTACAGAACAACGTTTGTTCTGGGTGTGAGCTTGAAAATACCAAGGGGTAGGCCCCCGTTGGTAAGACTTCGTAGATGAAGAGGAGCAAGCAGTCTTCCCCCCCCCTACTCCCCGCCTTTTCTGCACGCTTGCCCCACGGAACCGGCTCGCAGGCATGGGGAAAAAGTGCCCCAGACGGAATTTCAGGGACGCATAGGAATACTCCACACGCTGAGGAGATTGGAGATTTACTTCACTACGGCAAACATGCAAAGAGAACAACTACGACACATCACCCACGTACGGCTGGACACGACGCCGTGAAAGGGTGGCCAGCACTTCGACCCGATCGATAGCCCATGAGGACCGCGCCGCATCAGCTCGCGTGGGAGGTAGGAGAGCGCGCGATTCAAACCACCAATGTTCAATCTCTCTCTCATCGTCACCAGTCACGGCTTGGTCGCAGGTTGGCTGCTGAGATATCGAATCAGTTGTTCGGAAAACCCTAAAATTTAAATGTTCTGACGTCGTGATACTGTATAATCTCTCGAAGGAACTGTCTGACAGATAGCAAAGTTTGTTTGAAAAAAACAGGTGGAAGAATTCCGCGCTTCAACCGTTCCCACCTCAGTCTCTCCGAATAGAAGCCA